CAATGTAAAAAATCGTAATTAATTATCAAAAGTGGTAGATAATGGATACAAACTTTCCAGAGCCACAATATTCATATATATTTTGTCTCTTGTAGTAAGAGTTCAATCCTTTACCCTTTTTATAACTATTTCTTTGAATAATATATTCAAATTTGACACTAGTTTGGGCAAATAACTTAAAATTCCTGAATCCTAGAGTAGACTCTTCTGAGTAGAATAGCATGTTACTTTATTGTGTTTGTTTCATGAGACCATGTTTCACATGAGCCTTACTTTAACCCACATTTTTTAACACTTAATTAGGTTTTACATTATATACAAATCTGAGAACTCAACCAATAACATGTCTGGCAGGGCACAAGAAACTTATTGAGAAATTAAAGGTGCCAGATACATAGGAAAACGATGGATTTCATTGCTTTTGACCATAATCTCTAAAATTACCACTGACATTGTTAGCAGACAAGCACTAGTGATATAAACATTATATTTTGGAGCATGATTTACCTTTGAATCAAAGAAATTAAAATTGTTGCAGCCTCTAAGAGTTAATTGCAAAAATCAGTTCTCATTTTCTTATAGTGTCTTATATCTTTTTTTGTGAAAAATAAGAGACACAAGTTGCCTAACTTCAGTCCAGATGTTTTAGTTGTGTAGGGTGTCAAAAATGACCTGTAGTACTTCCGATACCAAGATTCAAAGAAGCCCTGAAAGCGTGAAAAGCAAACATACAATAGGCCATTTAGTAGACCGCCAACAAGGCATTTTCTCAGAAAAAGCTCGAAATTTTTCCTTAAACTTTTGTAAGACAAAGTGCTAAATGTTACTCTAAGACGACATAGACACAATATGCTCCTATTTTACTTTCTCTCATCTTGTTATAATTTATATTAGTGGAGTTCTCTTACAAATTATTAGATTTATGAGTGCATATGCTTTAAAAATAATTGTCAAAAAAGTTTCTCGCAAACTCATCAGTTCTGTGAACTAGCTGAAAATTCCCACATTTTCAAAATGCTCACAATGCCATTTCTCTAAAATGGTCAAATTTTTCTTCAATCTTTTCAAACAATATTGTTCATTTCACTCTTTAAAATAGTTTTAAGTTCATTTCGGATATTTTTAAGTTTGTCAAAAGTCACACTAATGTAATTCTTGAAGATCTCTCACACCCGCATTATTATGCACATTCCCACAATTTGTAAACGTGATTGTATTGTGAGTTAATGTGCTTTGAATGAAGTTGTTCAAAACTCAAAATTTTCTGTGAAAAAAGCTTCAAAATTGTTGAATTGACAGAAGCGCTTCAACACCATAGCTTTTTAAAAATGGCTCCAAATTTTCAAAGACAATTACCATGTAGGACGAGCGTTTTACTGTCTTTAATATTTTAAAAGATAATTTTCCATTTTACCCATTTGAAAAAACTAAAAATTAATTATTTTTTTTAAAATGGCTTTAGTGGTGATAGATGGTAACTCGCAAGAGTATGTGGCAAGTCCAAAGTAGCTAGCTGAGAGACACCGGAAATAGAAAAACAAACAGGGGGAAAGCCATAGTAGCACCGTATATTTTAAACTTACATGGTAATGATACATGACAGAGAAGCAGCAATTCTTATTTTGGAAGGCAGTTCAATTATATCAATTGTATTTCCGAATTTATTTATAATTTCACTCCCCTGTAGTGTGCTTTTCTTTATGACTGGAAAAAATACACATATATATGCGTTGCCTATGCAGCCCTTCTCAACAGCTTATTCCCTTGATGCAGTTCAATGAAACGGTGCGATGCTCATTCAACTGATGCAAAATGTTATCTAAAAGGGAAATTACTCTAACTGAACGAATTTCTTACCCAACAAGAAACACTTGAACGCATGACGTTCTTCCTACAATGCAAGATCCACGCTGAGTGCTTGGTTATGCGATCAGCTCCACTGGACAAGACAAAGAATAATCCTGAAGCCTACTGTTTACTGCGATGAATCACAAACGTGACTTGACTTAGGAGAGGCATTGCCTAATTATTCAATGAGATAATGAGTTATATCATGACCTACTTAGGAATGAGAAAAAACGCGAAAGGCTTAGTGGAATGGCGACCTAGAGCAGAGTTGTCACGGTTTGTACTACGACTCTCAGGGACTCTCGCGACCAGTTGTGTTAGAGCACTTACTATTCGAAGCATAACATAGCACAAACTTACAACTTCTGGTATTTCATATTCCTGAGAGTTCACAATGCATCGGTTATGTTTGTGAACTGCTCCTCTATTAATAGAGATTCACTTTCAAAAGATTTGTTCATGCAACTGCATTACAGATAGTCTGTCAACGGAAAACTGATTCCGCAAACTGGAAATATCCATGCAACGAAAGTTGTGAATAAAATTGCCCAGGCACTTCATTAATGATACAAAAATAGTGTAAGGCAGTGTAGCAGCCTGCGCACAGCGGCGCCACTTTCACGCAGAGTATTTCTGTTCATCAAAAACATAGAAATTTATTTAGTTTACAAAAAATACGATGATACAGGCAAGATAACCCTGGATTTAATGTAATGATAAATAAAGAAATACATGGAAAGAAAAATAAAAATTACAGTATGGTAAACAGAAAGAAACAAAAAGATTACATGATAATCAAGAAAGAATAGTATAAAATTGCCCAAACAGTGTTTAAAAGATTGAATTTCCCAAGCTTCAATTGTATTATTAATTTATAAATTATATTTTTTTGTTAGTTTGCAATACATTTTTACTCTTCCTACCATTTACTTTGTAAGAGGAAAGTATTGTAATAGATGCATCAGAAAAACGTGTTTTCAACAGCAAAACTCATATTCTCAGGCTACCGAAAAATCATATGATGCCATTATCTGTCCTTATCCGTCAGTCATCAACTTTGTTCTGTCTGTCTTGGTTGTTTTATCCTTGATAGCATAATGGATGCTTAAGAGATTTGAGGTCACCATTTTAGTGAAAACCCTTATTATTATTTTATTATTATTATTTATTATTTTCTCTTGTCCTTCTTCGTTTCTTCCTTTTGTTGTTGTTGTTCTGTTATTTTATTTATTTTTTTTTCAAAAGTTCAAATTCTTTTTCATTCCTTTCTACAACAACATTTTTGAAATAGATTTTTTCCTGTTAATGAAAATCTGTGCTTCAAAGCAGATCTTGAAAATAAGTCATGTAGGGCTTACAATTTTTCGAAAATAAGAGGTGCTTCATGTAATCGGCATTTTTAACAATTATTTTATCAAAAATGCCACAAAATTTTTTCCTAACATGAATGAAAAGGTAAAAAAACCCCAACAACAACAACAACAACAACAATGCTATCTTATTTCCGGTCAAAACAAATTTCAAAAATATTCAAAAACGTTAATATTTCAAACTACCAAGAATTGAGATTGTAATTTTTACCATTATCAAAATCTGTTCTAAAAAAAATGTGAAAATATTGTTGCGTACAATATTGTTGAAGAAAAAAGGGTAGTTTTCAGTTAATAATAATTATTTGTTAATGTGTGAAATTAATACATTTTAGTGTAAAAATCATCTCTCAAAAATCAAGGTAGAAAATAAGGGATGCCTAAAAAAGTATGTGTGATATCATTCTGTCAATTGAAATCTCTTACTGAATTTTTGAAGAATTTGCGAGTTTGGAAATAATGGAAAGACATTAATTTTACTAAGACTACTACTTACAACAACTACTACTACTTACTTGTTTTGTACCATGGACACATATCTGTTAATTCAATAAATAAAATAATTAGACTTTTAGCCATAATGAGAAACAGCATGCGTGGTTGTGGGGTTAAAACGCATGGCAAGTGATAATAAGATAAACCTGAGCTTGGGGTCTTGGTGCGGAATAAAAGTTGCCTGTTCAAAACCATTTTTGCAGGTCAGAGAGTAGTATAACATTGCAGTTCTGTTACAAATATGTGGGAATTGGAAGGATTGCTTGCCGAGTCCCTAGAGGAATCGTGGTTAGTACCTACATTGATAAAGAAAATTTATAATGAAAAAAAACGTTTAGTGATAATAAACTGAATTTTCCTTAGCTGCTTTCTTAAACCTGTGACGACCGGGGGCATCCAGTGGTCGACACATTCTTTTAGTCTTCATCTTGATTCATCGCCACAGTCATCTTCACCATCGCAGCGCCAATGTCTGGTGAATACAACGGCGATTTTTGAGACCATAAAACTGGACCTTCATTGAGGACCAACTACAGTTCAGTTCGTCTAAACCATCACTACAGTCAGTGATACCATGCACATTCCATGTCACTGAATATAAAAGAATAGGACAATACATAGTAGAAAGTAAAATTAAATTGTATTTAGACATGTTGAAATTATAGTTTCATTAGTTTGAACTTTAAAAAGAACCATTTAGTAAGAGCATCATTAAAAGAAACGGAGGATATTCAGTGACAATTTCGGGTAAGTTATTCTCAGAGCGCTGCTGATGCATTAAGTTAAAGTCAAGATGCATCCAGAGCTCTCCATCCATGAGCAAACATAGTGTAATCTGCATTGTTTGGTAACATTTAGCACAACTACATAAATGATTAGTTTATTGTGTAAATCCACTGTCACAGTGGGCTGTACTCAATGCAGAGTTAATTATGATTTGATCCAACTATTTTGTCATTATGACACACTGCCTGTTTTGACCTTCGGGTAATATTTATAATGAGCTATGTATAAGAATCTTTGTAATCCATTATAACAATCGCAGAGAGTTTATCCCAAAACTAAACTTGCTAGTTTTAATTACCTTATCCATTATTTCCACTTGGATACACGCAAATAGTGATTGAAGAGAAAAAACCCACACACACACAAAAAAAAGTTTAAGTAAACTTGATCATAAAAACGTATTCTTATGGCAACTACTTCTCAGTATGTAATTTTCATTTGAGTACACAAATAAAATATGTTTCTTTAAGTCATACATATAATCATCTCATTGTCACTTACATAAAGATGCAATGATGAGGATTTTCACATTGAAATTCTTTACTTCCACAAGTTGTGTTGCAATTAGCTTCATCACTGTGATCTTCACAATTATATTCACCATCACACTGAAGTATACCTCTAATGCATCGTCCATTATTGCATCGGAATTCTGATTCACTACATTCTCGAGGTCTGCAATTAAGCTCATCAGATTTGTCCCCACAATCGTCATCATAATCACACTGCCATCGTCCTGGAATGCAACTGATGCACAAATGCAAAGGCTTTAACTCGCACAAAATTAATAAAAAATGTAAAGAAAATATTTTTCTCTTCATAAGCGAAAGAGCTCATTACTAAAGTGACATATCTCCATTTCAATTTTTCTAGTTTTATGTCTCAATATATTTTGAAGATACTTTTACATCATGCTGCAATATTGTATTCCAAAAGACCATTTGTACTATATTAAATGGTCAAATCATTGAATCCTATCTTGAAGTACGGCTGAATATTTTCTCTTCCTGAAACCAGTATTTCTTGGAGATATGGCACTTTGGAAAAAAGCTCTTTATTCCGCAAAAGTGTATTTTTTAGAAGTAATTTCAAGAAGTAAAAGTTATTGTAATTGATACTTACTTTCCATTCTTACACAGGAAGTAAGTAGGATCACATGTTCGATTCTGGGGACTTGTGCATGTGGATGGTTCATCTTCACCTTGTGTACAATCAACATCACCATCACAATGCCAAGACATTGGAATACAACGACCTGAATTGCACCTAAAAACAATAAAGAAACATAATTAACAGGTTTTTAATCATATAAAATTAAATGTTATTCACATAAACTTATAAGAATTTCTCAATTTTAAAACCAAGAATTTGTACCCATATCTTCCATAAAAAATATTTTGTTTACCAATTTAAAAATGGAATTCATACAAAAATAAAATAAAATAAAAAATAAAAAGGAAAGAGATTTTGACATAAATATACTTTTGGGATTCCTTATACCAAACAAGTGGTTCTGTCTACATTCGTCTGTCTACACGTATTGTTTCAACAACTGTAATACATTATTATTTTACAACATTTTTCAACATTAAGTACTGACATGTTAATGAAGTTCTTCCAAATTGATGGCCAAAAATGTAAAATTAATAATTTAGTTCTCTGAATATTTCAAATTTATTTTGATGAAACATCACACAAGACAAAAGAAAAAATATATAACTGTTAGTTTCAAATGCTGGGTATTCAATAAAGTGGTTATTTTCATCCCTTTACTTCATTAGTTTTTTAATCAATCAGCAGCCACACCCACATATGAAAAACCTTTCTTTTCAAAACTGCTTTTATTGCAAACAAAATTAAAAGAAATAGACCAATGTTTTGCAAAAATTGTACAAGATCTTATTTAAAGATCTATTTTTGAAGAACAGATTTTATTGCTCAAAAATCTTTATCTTCAATATTGTAGTTGTAGGAAGAAGCCAAAATAAAATTTCAAACAGTAGTAATTTTTGAAACTGCAGATAATTCCACAAAAATTGAATATGCACTATTTTTATTGGTGTACTTTGCTGTATTCTAGGAAAACATTTGGTGCCATTTTTGAAAAAAAATTTGAAAATGTTGATGAGGCTTCATGTAAAAATTTTCCTCCAAAATTGAAACATCCATTTCAAATTCGTAGGTCCTTGTGAGCAGCCTGATTGATATTGGAATGCCAATTTGTAGAAAATTGTCTGAACTATTTAGGCATTAGACGAGAGACAGAGAAATATTTTACTTGTTCAAATATTTTCTTTCAGTACCTGGGATTGAACTTAACAATCATCATTATATATCAATCATTGTAGCTGATAATGTTATACTCCTGTTCAAAACTTCCTCATACCGAATGGCTTTGTATGTTACCTTCATAGAGGATATGAACTGGTTTTATTGTAGTTTCAAAATTATAATTGCCGTAACAAATACTTGCAGATTTTTATGCTAATAGATAAATTTTAGTACAGCTGCATTTGTATACTTTTTTTTCTAAGATGTACAAAAATGCACATAACACATTTGCATTAGCACAAATGATAAATGCAAAAATGCAGATCATTCCCAATTACTTCCAAATATTCTATTGCAACATATTTTACAACTACATTTGATTCTTTCCTGAATTTACTTAAAACTTCCATATTCCCCCCCCC